GGGGGGGAGTGGGATCTTTGAATTTTTGAAATATTATTGCAAAGGGACAGTACATTAACACTGACAGAGGTGCAGAGATTTGTACATTTAGTCAGAGTCAACATGAGAAAACTGGAGTTAACAAATAAATAAACAAACCAAAAATAGATATAACCGTCCTAAGGGTGTGGGCAGATAAGCCCAACTGAGGGACGAGAAGGCCAGACCCAGCTGATCTCTCATCGTACCCTCACAGCAACGACAAGTGCAAAGCTGCTGGTGCAGCGTGTTAGGCGGTTGGAAACCCATCCACCAGGGTTCTACCAGCACGACAGGATTCACCTGTGGTGGCCTGACACACAAAAAAATATATAGTAAAAATATGATGCGATGGTGTATACACCACGTGAAAATAAAACACCTTCATTAGATAGATCTACCAACATTTTAAGAAAGAAAGCTAGTTTTAAATGCATCTGTCCATTTACATTTAGCAAACCATTGCTGCTCTGGCTTGACACCCCCCACCCATTCACAACATATATCCAACACACCTTTTGTAGTTTGGTGGTGTGTTTAGGCGTGCTCTAATATCTCTTTTCTCTGCCACACCTGCTTATGCATTGCTCTACTGAAAGCTGCTCCTCTGCAACTGCTGCTGTTCATATAGTATTTTATAAGCTCCACCTCTACCACAGCGTCCACCTGTGGGCTCAGAGTCCATCAACAGAAAGTTATTATTGCCACTCCCCACTTCCTGTTGTGCCGAGCTTGGTTTATACTTTATGAGGGACGACGGCGAGATGTACACATTCTGCATTCACAAAGTAATCAATTACATGCGAGTTGGCTGACTGAACTGTGTCACTCAGTTTTTTTGTGTTTTGTAAAACAGATCTTGGGTCTGATCAATGAGATTACTATATATGACCTCAGATCACAATTAACGCTACATTTGGTTACAGTTGGGGTGCATTTCAGTGGATATGTGTTACGTCCCCTTTTTTAGTCTAGGGGGAAAAGTTGAGACGAACACGCGACAACCAAAGAATGTGAAAAAATCAGAAGTAGAAGTAACAATTTAACATAATTTATTTGAAGTCAAGTGTATTCAAACAAAGGTTCTTAATCAATGTGGGAGAGGATGAGACAAATGTGGTCGTGCCAAGCAAAAAAAAACTAGGCCTGGCTAACTCCTTCCTCTGAAAACAAAACAAACAAAATGGTATACATGCTTCCCTAAACATTTCTTCACCAAAACAAATACAGAGGTGGCACCGGCCAATAGTCCCAATGTATCTAGACATTAAAGGGTACCCCAACTCACCTACTATCCTCAACCTCTCACCACAAACCTTAACAACAACAGTGCCAGCTTAAAGAGGCAGAGAGCAAGAACACAAAGACAAGGAACTCCTCAGGCTTACTCTTTTTATGCTGGGCCCCACTCTGCTGATTGGCCAGCTTGAAATCTGTGGGACCCAAGGAGCAGAGCGACTGGCCTGCACAGGTGGAAACCAAACACCTTAATGGCACCTGAAGAGAAAACAACAGAGGGAGAGAGAGAAAGAAAGGTAGGAGGGGAGAAAGCACACACATAGGCACCTTGCCACCGCCTGACACGTAACAGCGTGACCATAGACAAAGAACTGTGCTATCAAACCAAAAGAGCTTGAGTTATGCAAGAAGAAAGCAACACAATACAATGCGGCACATGGAAGCTTCAACAACATTATAGGAAATGAGAGGACACAATGGACTCCTAGTCGGGCATTATCCATGTGTGTGTGTGTGTCTGTATGTGTTTACAAGTTTTAACACAGTGCTCACCTGGTCCAGCCTCTCATTGGTATGTATTATCAGCCAATGGCGCAATGCAAGTAGTTCACCAGCAGGAGGTGCTATCATAAAGGCAGTAGAACAACCTCCAGGCTCTTTTCCACTCTGACAACATTACCACATGGACTTTATTAATACCTAAGGTTCAATTTGTTCCACAGTTGAAACAAGACACACTCTCACGGCTCTAAAGACACCATTTGAGGGAGACCGTGTGCTGCTGAATCTATCCTCACTTAACAACATACAGCACTGCATTGAATCAAAGGTGTCTAGATTTTCAACTGAGATCCCCACACCAGTTCTCCTCTGCAGTCCCACGTCTTCAGTTAAAACAACATCTAACACATGTTACATGACTTTAAAAATAATGAAAAGTTCACTGAATGTGTGTGACTATGACAGCATAAAACACTGCTGGAGACAGGTGAAGTTCCATTAGATGTGTGTGAAACAATACTTAATCTCCCGTTATTTAATGTCCCCAGTTTGCCTACAGCGATGTACTCAAAACTTTCCCCAGACAACTTCTTGCCCTTGCTGCTGAATTACTTGTCTTTTTCTCCATCTTCCACCACCACTTTCAATGGTCTCTGGAGCGTGTGCCAATTCAATCCCGCCTAGCCCCCCCAGTGGAATATAGAAACACTAGTTTGTCATGTTAGCTTCACCTCTCACACCACAGGGTCAGTAGCCAAAACGCTGTTATTGCGCAGGGCATTGGGACCGAGGTGCATCTGCTGAGGGTGATATCCTTTCGGTCTCAGCCTGCCATGTAATGGAGAAGAATCTAATCATCCTCCTCCTCCAGTCTCTGTTTAGAAATAGAACTGAGGACAGGGAACAAGGCTGCATCAATCATAAAAAGGATTTACCAGGGAGCGAGATCTCTCTCACAACTCTGTCAGAACAACATCCAGCAAACTGACGTTACCTTACTTTACCTCAGTCAGACACATCCTGAACCAAAAGCATTTAAACCCACAATGCATTTTGATTTTTCTTCTGTACCAATTTGTCCTTCCTTGTCTTTCAACATGAATCAAACACCTTTCTTTCTCTTTCATCCCACAGTCACTTCTAACCTTCCTTTCCTTCATATCTTTCCCTCCCTTCCTTCACTGCTCCCAGCCCTCCCTCTCCTTACTTTTCCTGGCTTACAGTTTCGCTCCATGCACACCTTCTGGCTACGATTGATAACATCCCTGATGGAGCTCCTTTATTAGCCACCCACAGGCAGATTAACCAGAGCAATAATACACCAATCAACAGCAATTATGCTGAGATAAACCCAGGGAGAGCTCTGCTGGATGCTGGAAAGGATGTGGCAGTTATAGAGTGATTGGGGGTGTTTTACTACAGAATTAAAGGTTGTGTGTCCGTGCATACATTAACGTGTTCAACAAGTACATTACATTGAGTGTACTTTGTTGTTTGCCTGCAGTCTTAATCCCTTCATAGGGCATGTTATTATAATCAGATGTGAAATCAGTCCTAGTCCCCAGGTCCTTATCAGGTGCTAATTGAAGTCATGATCAGGCAGGTTGTATTCTCATCTGTGTAGTATCAAAGTAATTATTGAAAGTAGAAGCATGAGTGCAGCAAAACAGCAGAATAATTTGAGGTTTTGACTCAATACGGTGGTATTTTACTCTCAATATTATGATTGAAGGCATCCCTTCTCCTCACCATTAGAGCATATTAAAACACTTCAGTTAAAATGTTGGCACTTGGTCGTTTTTGGACTTAAACAGCAGCTTGGCATTGTTCTAGAGCAGCTAAATGATGATGAAAACGAGTGGAAGCGTAGATACGAGTTTCCTGCCTGCAGGCATTCATGCACCAGCCAAGTCTGATTTCAAGAACAGCTGTGTGGATTTAACCTCCCTTCCCCCTCTGTTTTGTTTTTTTGCAATCACAAACATGCATTCACACAAGTGCAAGTACACACCAGCATGTGCACAAGCATATACGTACATGCTCGCATGCCCATGAAAAACAAAAAACAAAACACAAGCAGGGGCTACTTTGTAAAGGCAGACCAACGACCCTGGACTCTGTTTACTGCTGTGTGACTGG